CACTGGGGGTCTATTTTAGGGGCAACAAAGCAGAGAAAGTAGTTCTATGGGATGAACTGAAGAAATACAGAAGTATATGGGGTGGCAGGTGGACTGTAGGTGGTGATTTTAACATGATTTTAAGTAGGGAGGAAAGGAGTTGCAATATTTTCTCGGCGAAAGAAGCTGCTGAGTTCAAAGAGGTCACGGATAGGTCAGGGGTGGTGGATTTGCCGCTGTCCAAGCGGCAATGGACCTGGTCCAATAAAAAAGCAGGTTGAGAATTGATAGATTTTTTGTTTCCTTTGATTTCTTGCTCAAACTGACTAATTATGCCAGAAAACTCTCCCCTGTCCGACCTCTGATCACTATCCATTATGCCTGGAGGCTGAGGGGATCCAATGGGGACTGATACCATTTCGGCTAGACAACAAGTGGTTGAAGAAGATTTCTTTCCTCAGTTTGGTGGAAAATACTTGGAAAAATTGCCAGGTTCATGGCTGTGCCAGTTTCAAACTTGCTTACAAACTCAGGTTCCTGAGAAGTACCATTGAAGTTTGGGCCAAAGAGGAGTTGATGAATGAGAAGAGCAGCTTTGAAAGTACCTTGGATGAGATTAGCTCTTTGGATTCTAAGAGGCAGAAAATGGTTTGGATGAGAAGGAGCAAAATAAACGGAATAATTTAAAGATTAACTTGGCTTCTTATTTGAAGGAGGAGGAATTGATGTGGAGACAGAAGTCTAGAGAGAAGTGATTGGAGGAAGGGGATTGAAACACGAAATATTTCCACGCTTTGGCCTCTCATCGATGGAGAATCAACTATATTGAGGAGATTGTTATTGACGGAAAGAAAGCTGGGGGGATGCTGATCTGCGTGAGGCTGCTAAGGGATTTTTTGATAACCTATATTTGGAGACTCGTATTTTTCGTCCTAAATTGCATGGTCTGCCGTTTCAATGCATTTCTGTTGAGTGCAGACAACATTTGGAAGAAGAATTCACTGCAGATGAAATCCTTGAGGGGTTAAATTTCTGTGATGGTAACAAAGCCCCGGGTCCTGACGGTTTTAGTATGAATTTTCTACAATGTTTTTGGTCTTTGTTGAAAGAGGACATTTTGGCTGTTTTCAAAGATTTGCACTCTAAGGGTAAGTTTGTTAAATCTCTTAATACTACCTTCATTACCCTCATCCCCAAGAAAAGTGGTGCTATTGAATTCAAAGACTTTAGGCCCATCAGCTTGATTGGGTGTATATACAAACTTACTGCAAAGGTGTTGGCTAGAAGAGTAGTTAAAGTGATGGGTGAAATTATTGGGGTTTGTCAACATGCTTTTGCGGGCGGCAGACAGATTTTTGATGCTGTTATGGCTGCTAATGAAACAGTTGATGATTTATTTGTTAACAAAAAAGATGGATTGGTGTGTAAGCTTGATATAGAAAAAACATATTGATCATGTTAATTGGAATTTTGTGGATTACATGCTCTTGAGAATGGGGTTTGGACAGAAATGAGAAATTGGATGAAAGCTTGTGTCACTATCACTTACTTTGCTGTTTTAGTAAATGGGGGCCCTTCAAATTTCTTCAATGCTTCAAGAGGATTGTGACAAGCTGATCCACTCTCCCCCATTTTGTTTATAATGGTGATGGAGGCTTTTAGCAAGCTACTGAATAGGGCTCAAGATCAGCAACTGATCAAAGGTGTTTCAGTGGGAAGGAGTGGGGTTAGTACTGAAATTTCCCACATTTTCTTCGCCGATGATACTTTAATTTTTTATCAACTGGAATTGAGAAGCTTGCTACATTTGAGATGTGTGCTTTTGTGCTTCCAAGCTGTTTCAGGGCTCAAGATAAACTTAAATAAGTCGGAAGTGACAAGAATTGGTGGAAATGGGGCTGTTGGTTCTTTTGCTATGATCATAGGCTGCAAAGAAGTAAAATTTCCTCTTAAATACCTTGGCCTTTCTCTTGGTGCTAAGTATAAAGATCAAGTATCTTGGGAACCGGTGATTGATTTGTTTTGAAGAAGACTTGCGGGTTGGAAAAGAAATTTCATTTCAAGAGGGGGGAGATACACCTTATTAAAGAGCACTTTTGGCTAGCCTCCAAATATATTTTCCTATCAACAATTACTATCCCCGTGAAGGTGGCTAAAAGATTGGAGATAATACAATGTATATTCCTTTGGGGTGATAGTGAAGAGGAGAGGAAGTATCATCTTGTGAAGTGGGAAGATGTCAAAGAACCTATCAATTATGGGGGGCCTTGGAATCAGGTCCATGGTCAATATGATTATCGCTCTACAGGGGAAATGACTTTGGAGATACATGACGGAAGAACATAGTTTATGGAGAAGGATTGTTCATTCTTGCTGGGGGTAAGTACATGGTTAGGAAGAGGTTCAGCAAGATTCCTGTTACTCATGGAAGAGGAGATTGGAGGAAAATTTTGATTCGATGGTGCAATTTTTAGCTTTGTGTCGCTTGGAAACATGGGAGAGGAAACAAGATTAATTTTTGGGAGGACGACTGGATTGGGGATGGCTGTCTTAGCAGGAAATTTCCCAGAATTTTCAGCATTGCCCAATCAAAACAGATGGCTGTCGTGGATGTTTACTGAAAATCTAATGACAACATTGTTTGGTCTATCTTTATCAGCAGGAACCTAAACGATTGGGAAGTTCACGAATTTGAGGAATTGATGAAAGCTGCTGGCAGAACAAAGTGTGTCCATTTGTGATGATCAAGCTGTTTGGAAGTATGAAAAAAAATGGCTATTTTTCTGTAAAATCATATTACCATTTTTTGTGCAGAAAACAGAACGTGCATAGACATATTTTTCCAGCAAAACAAATCTGGAAAACCAAAGGTCTGCCTCGTATTGCTTTTTTGCCTGGGAAGCATGCTGGGAAAGGATTTTAACCATTGACAAGTTGAAAATTAGAGGAAGGGTGCTGGTTAATGGTTGTTATTGTTGTCTACAAGTTGAGGAAACTTGTAATCACCTTTTATTATGGTGCCCGATGGCATATGCGTTATAGTGCATGATCTATAGTCTTTTGGGGATTGATTGGGTTATGACTGGGTCTGTGGAGGGAGAAATTTGGGCTTGAGATGAGTTATCTGTAAAAAATAAGATTGCTAACTTGATTCCTTTGACCGTCTTCTGGGTCATTTGGAAAGAGAGAAATAGTAGGGATTTTGATAGCGTAGAGAGTAGTATCCTTAATTTAAAAGATAAGTGGTTTCATTACTTTGGGTTTATTTTATTGGATTATGGTATTATCAGTGATGTAGATTTTGGGAATGTCATTGATTCACTAACATGATTGTAAATCTATTGTAAATGGGTTTAAAAAAAAAGGAAATTTACAGCTCATTCTCTAGAATCGCATCTATCGAGAGTAATTTTCATATCCTCAAATATTTTAAAAAAAAAGATTCATATCCCCAAACCCATTCTATTTTTTTTTTCTTCCTAATCATCCATAAGTAGCCAAAGGACAAGACCTATATTCTTGTTGTGACAGTTATTCTGGCAGATGCCTCTCCATGCCCATAGTTGCTCTTTCATAGAACCAACAATTATCCAACTCACCCTGAAAAGCCATTATCTTTTGTAGCTGTTAAGAGGGTGGACACTAAAAGATAAGATGATTGCCAGACTCCGTCATTCCCTTGCAAAACTAGCATTCGTTCATGATAATTTCCCCCTTTTAATCAAATTGCTAGGGTTAGAATACAGTCCTTGTCGCTCTAAGGAAGGCATTGATCCTCCATACTTATTTGCAGGGCAACTTTGCATTAACGACACTTAGTAATAATAATCAGATTTTTACCAAAAAGGTCTCTTTCGAATTAGCTTCCAGATTGGCTCATCCAAGGCCTCTTGTGGCCTCATACACTAGGAAAGTAAATTTATTAAATTAACATACTTATCCACTTTTCAGCCACTAGGTTGCTGACAAGACCCACCACCCAAATGCCATTATTGAGGGCACAAGAAAAAGGCTCCACCACCATGGCCTCTTTATTATGAGCTAAAAAGCAAATTGCAAGAAAATGATGCTCAAGGGAAACACCATCAGTCGGATCACTCTTCTCCTCTTTATCATCCTGGATTACCTGCCAAGCCCATAACTCATCCTAAATAGTTCCAACAACAGCAAAATTCAAATCAAGAAAGGATATGGCCATGCACCAGTAAAGTGTAAAGAGAAGGGGCCTTCAAGATAAAGGAATGGAGTTTCAGCTTACCCTTTACACAGATACAACTGTTCACCAAAATCGTCTGTCAATTTCTTAGATTGTGAATTGTGAGATCTGGCTTTCACAGTCAAAATATTGCAATTTAGATTGTCAATTTCAAGGGTAGGAGAGGTGCACATAGGAGGACTCTGCACTGGCATTGTATCCACTTCCACGTTGGATCATCATGCTCTAACCAATTCATTTGGCATAAGGAGAGATGTTGGAGTAGGTCCCACTGTCCTAATTCCAGTTTTCATATTTCTCACAAAGTTGATATTCCATGCCACTTCACCAACATCCTAGGAGAAATCTTAAGAAATGGGCAAAAACAAACATGCAGCAAAAAGAAGATAACATGCAGTAACATAGCAATCCCGCAGAATTGTTAGGAATGCTCATATGAATCAATTAGTTACAAATGATCTTAAATAGGTGCTGAATTTTTCTCTTTGTGATACCATTATATTGTGGAGAGCTTAGACAAGAGAATCAGTGGATTATCCTATAACGAGTCATGAAAGTTGTAAAAGTTATAAGAATTTGCACCGTCGCTTTGAAGAATACAATTAGATGTATGAAATGGAATTTGGGTTTGAGAACACAATGCATAACATAGCCTAACAGGTACAACAAACTTACCCTAAAAATGCAGGGCTGAACTCTATTTAGGAAGTGTAAAAATTGTTGCACTGAGAACCCTTTACATTTATAGCTTATTCTGTCTTGAAACTGATGTCATTTCTACTTTCTTTTCATTGTACTTAAAAAGCTGAAATCAGGGAGCGGGATTGGTGCAATGTTGTTACATGCCATGCAGATACTACAGAGGCATATGTATGGAGACTTCAGCACTATGTTCTTGGAGAGCATATTCTAAGACCATGCCCTGACATTCCAACTGCTGTCAAGGTTAGAAATCATATTCTCATCAAGAATTTCTATGATGTTTTGATTGGTTTATAACATGTGTTTTTCTCGGGATTTAGCCCATAGATTATGCAGTCTTCTATTAAAATTTATAATTTGCTCTATTACAATTTTAATGAGACAACGGGATCTGTTACTCTAATGCAGACGAATCTGATGATATCATATCTGAAATCTAAAATCTTGTTTATATACAAATAGTGTAATCGAGGTGACATGTACTCAAATAAAAAAATTGATTTGACAAACATTTCTCTGCTAATAGGCCTGCACGATCAGTGCTTGTGGCAATTTTGCTGTTCTTGGGACAGCAGGTGGTTGGATCGAGCGGTTCAATCTTCAATCTGGAATCAGCCGAGGAAGTTATGTTGATATATCCGAAAAACGGAGCTGCGCTCATGTTGGAGAAGTAGTTGGAGTTGCTTGTGATTCTACAAATACACTACTTATAAGTGTAGGGTATCATGGAGATATAAAGGTATTAATGTCCTTATTCCCTTGATACTGGGCTCTGTAGGTCCTTATATCTCCATACATATATTTTATCATGAATGCTTTGGTTAAAAGATTTTGTGGAGCATATGATGACACTAGAGTGATTACTTATGGATTTATAGTTTAATCTTTTTATCCTATCTCCCTGTGTACTCATTTTTGTTTCTGGACTTCAGACATTTTATATCTGTAATTTGAACGACTTGATGAAGGGCAGATGAGGCATGATACTCAAAGGATTAGTTAGGAAAAGGAAAATTGTGCACAAAGGAACCTGGAGCTTAGAGGGAGCAAATTGGTTTTTTATTTCATCTTTTTGCTTTTCTGGGTTCATGTACTTCCCCATTGTGTTTGCCACTATTGAGAATCAGTATAGCTCAAGTAGACTAGTGCATTAATATTTAATAATTAGGGCAAGTTAAAGTCGGGTTAGTCCTTTTATGAAATAAATTCTTCTTGTTTATTTTGGTAAACTTGACTTCCTTAAGCTTTGATTTGTTGCACGAAAAAAAAATTTCATTAACCTTAAAGTATATGATTTTAGGAGCATTTAAATTAACAGTTATTCCTTTCAAAGTACTCAAACTGAGATTTCTCTCTGGCTAGGAGATAACATCTTGGGTTCTTTCTTAATCAATTCGTTTGCAGCCTGGACTTGAAACAAGGAAACTGCTATTGTATCACCTTTTATTTCTTTGCTTGGATTCGTTTACATTCTGTTTTCAATATGTTGGGTCTTTACTTTGCCTTGAATATTAATAATAATCAACTTACTGAATGCATATGTTTCCTAGTTTTCTGCTATGTTTTCTGATCAACAGAGAGAAACTTATAATGCCCATAAAATGTCTTAAGAGGAGCATGTAGGAACAAGTATTTATGGTAGTTCTTTGTTCATATTTACAAGAGAGCAATTCATTAGTTATCAAATTGTAGTTATAATTGGCATAAAATCACATCTGCAGCAAGCTTTTAAATGATAATAATTCTTTATTAGAGAAGAAGTGTTTTTCATTTTTAAATTTTGTTTTTTGGAGAGAAGAGTAAGTAAAGAAAGTGTTTTAAAGGGGGCTGAGAGAGGAGAAAAAAAAAAAGGAAAAAGTGCAAAGGTTCAGCCAATCACATGATTCCTTTGTGATAAAAGAAGAATATTATTAGAAGAACCAAAAAAGGAACTACAATCTAAAAGAAGATGAGTTCTCCTCCAGAAAGAAGAAAGAACACAAAAGGTCTAAGAACAAAAAAAAATAAGGAAAAGAAGTTGCATCTGTAGAAATCACTTCCCAATCCATTTATAGTGCAGACAAAAGAAATTCTCCTAAAGAAACCATGTGCTTTTGCTTTTGCATTAAGAGAGATAAAATCTATCATCCTTCTCTCGAAAATTATTTGACTGAATAAGACATTACTCAAAAGATTCTAATGTTCCCTCAAACCAAATGACACATGAACCTGGGAAAAAAACACCAAATGCTCCTTACCTACTTTGGAACTGCACACGCGTAAACAAAATTTTCCAATTTTGAGGTGTACACCCGCTAAAAACCTAAAGAGGATTGTAATCTGGTCCAACCTTGTGAGCTGAAACATATTGTTCTCTGAACTCTGGAGCATAGGAAGCACATGTCTAGAGCTTTTTGAGGTCTACTAGACTAGAGCAGGTTATTGGTGTTAGTCCTTTTAAAGACCACGATCCAAAAAAAAAAGCCTCTATGCTTGTTAGTACAGAAGCAGAACCGAGCGCGCTACCAGATTCGTGTGGCAGCTGAGTTACTGCTGATGTCTGCCGTACTGGTTGCTTTAGATTTTGTTGCTGATAGCTTGTGGGACAGCCTTTCAATCTGGAAAGTGAGTTCCCACTCTCTTTCTTTCATCCAAATGGGATACTCTTGATAAAGTTTAAGGCATGCTTCAAATTGCTACTGGAATTCTTCATATCATTGGCTTTGATACAAATACGTTATGATCCCTGGTTCACACCTGGTTGATTTTTGGTCTTTACAATGTACAATTAGAGAGCTTGTTCTTATTGGAGAGAATCCTTCGATCTCTAGAGAACATTTAACCTTTTGATAATAATTGGATGCTTTTTTCATTCACTGAAATAGATATATGTAAGGAGAACTTTTGCACTTTGTGATGTCATAAAACTAACTGGAAACTGAAGTTAAACTAAATTGTTAAAATTAAAAGACTAAACTAGGAAAAAGTCCTAGTGTAGATCTAATTTACCACTTTTCCTAATAGGTGACCTAGCTCAAACCTCACAGCTGTTTCTGTACTGCTCTTGGTAGACTTATGCTTCTCATGCGTGCCACTGGTATAAACCAAAATGGGACACCAGTTTGCTTCTTGGTCTGTGTTTGGCACATGATTCTGTATAGCGGTACTAGGGAATTCTTGGCAAACATGACTGCAACAAGGCACTACATCTTAAAGAGAGTGCAGCTTTCCAACTCTCTTAAATGTGTGGAAAATTTCCCCACAACATAAAAAATAAAGAAAAAGCTTGTAAGTACCATCCTCATGCTCCAGCTCCCTGACAAAACACTTACACTGCTTAACACTTTTCTAAAACGATAGATGCTAGCCCCTTTGTATAATGGAGTAAATAACAAAGTAGTCAGGGTCACAAAATAAAGTATAAGAGTTTTTATTTTGAAAATGTTCAAATCACAACCAGGGAAATTATGACTTGTCCTAATAAAGTACTGGGTGCTTAGATACATTGCATTAAATAATGTTCTATCTACCAAGTTTTGCTGCAAAGTTTCATAAATGAGATTTGTTGTGCAGGTCTGGGATTTCAAGGGACAAGAAGTAAATCTAGATGGGAGATTGGTTGTACTGTGGTTAAAATTGTTTATCATCGCCATAATGGTAATCTTTTGCTATTTGAACTCAGTTCTTAATCTTTTTTTCTCTCTGCACCATTGCACTCACTAGAATGTGGCTGCATCTTGCAGGTCTTTTGGCTACTGTGGCAGATGATTTGGTAATCCGATTGTTTGATGTTGTGGCATTAAGAATGGTTCGTATATTTGAAGGTCATACAGACAGAATTACAGATTTGTGTTTTAGTGACGATGGAAAATGGCTTTTGTCTTCTAGCATGGATGGGAGTCTAAGAATTTGGGATGTTATCTTAGCAAGACAAATAGATGCAATAGGTGTTGATGTGCCTGTCACAGCATTATCTCTATCATCAAATATGGATATTTTGGCAACTACTCATGTTGATCAGAATGGAGTCTACCTGTGGTAAGTTCTGATCAATCATTTAATTGACAAAATAAGTAGATTATAGAGCAGGATAAAAGAGTGAAGTTTGTCATTATTACTGCCATGTTTCTGAGTTCACCTGAATTCCAGTACAAGTTGAATATGTTTGTTTAGATATCCTACTGCTTTCATCAAGTTGTTTCTTTGTTTAAAGTTTGAAAATGTTCAAATTTTTCAGGGTTAATCAGTCAATGTTCTCTGGGGATTCCTCTATTGATTCTTATGGAAGTGGGAAGAAAGTTGTGAACGTTAAGTTACCATCTGTTTCTTCTTTGGTATCTTCTCAAGCTGATGATATCGAGAAGCCTGTTGTCAATCACATGGAATCAGAAAATGCTTTGAGTAGTCAATCTTTCAATTTCAGGATACCAGATCTGGTTACCCTTTCATTATTGCCAAGTAGTCAATGGCAGAGCTTGATTAATTTGGATATTATAAAGGTCTTTGGTTTCCCCTCTCGCTGGATATTTCTTGTTCTCCCAGTTTAGCTTCTTTACATATATTATGCATTAGTTCTTCTCATAGTTAGATTTTTATCCTGCCTGCCTTAAAACTTTCTCAATTTTCAGGTCCGCAATAAACCTATTGAGCCTCCAAAGAAACCTGAAAAGGCTCCTTTCTTTTTGCCTTCGCTGCCGTTGCTTTCTGGGGAAATATTATTTAAGCCCAGTGAATCAGCTAATGAAGAGAATGACACAAAAAGCAACGAAGTGGAAGAGAGCAAAGAAAAATTTGATGTGCCACGATC